TTCTCTTCTCCAGGAGTAAACGAGTTTCTGTAAGGGTAATGACTGCTATGTGTTTAGCTCTGATTCTCTTCTCCGGGAGTAAATGAGTTTCTGTAAGGGTAATGGTTCCTGTGTTTAGCACTGATTCTCTTCTCCAGGAGTAAATGAGTTTCTGTAAGGGTAATGACTGCTATGTGTTTTGCTTTTCTACACATTGAGCTGTTCTCTAGGGAGTTGACAATGCTTTAAATTTTGATTCGCACATGTACATGTATGGCCTAGTGACTAGCGGTAATAATGTAAAAAACAGTTTGCAGAACATACAAGGTGTAGCCACAACTCTACTACTGTAGAGTATTTTATTTTTGCTTGGAATTAATTTTCGCTATTTTCGCTGAAGGAATGATTCAGTGAAAATAAAATTAATTATTTACCTACACAATACAACATGTAAGGTTGTGAGTTGGATTATTAGTACTATCCATGTCTGATAAACAAGCTTTGTCATTTTATTTTTCCATATTAGGGAGATTACTTAAATGGAATTTACTTCTGTATGGTACTGCAAATGAAGTGAATCCTGAGCTTAGACCTGGAACAAGTAGAACACATTCCAAACATAGTATGCCTACCAAAAACCCACAGCCCAGAGATGAAAATGGCAGTGATGTTGATGATTATTCTTCTTATGATAATGAATATTCATTCAATGATAATTGTCATCCTGAATGTCTTGATAATGAGTGCGATGGTCCCGATGCCACTGATTGTTGGAATTGTGCACATTATAAAGACAGGAACACCTTGTAAGTACAACTCAAATTGCGTTTTGCAACCCAATGGTCCCTGTGTGATGATTCATCCAGTGTTGGTCTTCTGTTTGTTTGTAGAGCGTAAAATAGTTATGCTTTTCGATTAAGTGTCAAGAAGTTATTAAACCGATCTCATTAACATATGAATGGATTTTTTTCGTGTGATAATGGAGGACATGCAACATGATGAATTATGTGACAATTGTTTTATTAAGAAGTTCAATAAAGATTGTGTTAGAATCTTTAACTCGGCAATTGACACCCCTTAAAACATGCCAAGCAAAATATTCACTTCTAATTATGCAAATTTTCATTAAGGTTGTATACCTGACTGGTGTCATTTACTTTATTAAGTGTATGTGCTACTAATAGAGAAAGTATTATAATAATATAATATAATTATAACCTCAATAATGGGTCACTAATAGTTTTTTGCCGTTTTGATGCAGATGGATATTCATTTAAAATTGGTTTATTTGAAGGCAAAATAAGTCTTGGATTTCCTGTACATGCTTTATGATTCTCATATCATATCAATATGCTAAACAAATAATAAACTAGATAACAAATACACAAGATAAATACTATGTGAATTCAAATTAAATCTGTACTGTGTGTGACTCAAACCACTGATACTTTGATGTAGTATTGAGGAATAATTGTAAACTCGTAGTAGCTGCTGACATAGAAAGTAAAGCAAGTTTGTTGTTACCATGCCGTTTGTTTGGTGTTATTTACTTGCGATACTTTGTAAGAGTTTTGATTTTATAGGAATGTTATTGTTGATAATTTCTCTTCTATAGGGAATGTGTTAAAAGATGTCCACGTGGTTACTATGCACCGGATCTTCATCATCGTTGTCGTTATTGTGATAGCACTTGTAATACGTGTAATGGACCATCATCAGCTGATTGTCTGACATGTGCTGATGGGATGTTTTTAGTGGAAGATCGTGGCGTTTGCAAATCAGAGTGTGGTGAAGGTTACTTTGAAGGTAAAACATTTTGTTTTTCATCCTGGAAGCTTGGAAATTTACTAAAATATAATATGGAATGAAGTTGATTATAAAACACTTTTTTGTTAAAAAGGTCAGTCTCTACAATATATTGGCTCTGCCGTAGAATGATCGAATCTGTCGTTTTATGTCCTCATTATCCATAAAATTATCAGTAATGACATATCATAATAAACATGCCTGTAACCAATTTTAAGCTTAAAGTCGCCAAGATATACGGGTGGAATTACACTGCTTCTAAAAGCACTCTTCTGAAGAATAAAGTACATATATTCAGACTTTTTAGTATGGTAAATAATATAAAATATCGAGCCATATTCATATCAAGCATTAACAAGGGTTCGCAAACCACGAATAGACAGAAACAGAAAACAAAGTAGAAGTTGAGTACAGTACTAAACAATTAAAATGCGAATAATATAACCAGGTAGACCCCGGTCAATCAACTTTCTAAACAAGGACCAATGGTTGACACGGTCAAATGCATGCATATACAGGGACATTAAAAGAATAATAGTAGTTAATAATCTCTTTCATAGCATAAATACACATGTCCATAGAGTGTCCAGGCTTAAACCCAAATTGAGCATCATCCATGTTTAGGAAACCATGAATCTGTTTAAAGGGGCACCTTCCAGTTAAGATTAATTTTACAACAAATTTACTTTCTGGATTAAAATAACAATGGATAACAAAAGATAGATTAACATTGTAAACAACATAAACAATAGTGTCCCATGATTCTTTGGTGCAATCCAAGGGATTGAGCGGTTCCCCTTTAAGATAAGTTTCTAAAATCTTAGAGGAGACTATGGAAATGGCAATAGGCCTGTAGTTATCGTTACAGGTCAATTCACCTGATTTGTTTTTCACTATAGGAATCAGGATTGTTTTCATAAAAAAATGTGGATCAGCATCAAATTAAAAACAAGCGGAAACGCATACATACTTACTTCTTCTATTCTGTGGAGCAGATTGCTTTCAGAGTAGGCATTGCAAGCAGTAGCAAATAAACAGGGACTTGCAATTTGGTCTCCTTCCGTCCGTCCGTCTGTTCGTTCGTTCGTTCGTTCGTTCGTTCGTTTCTTCGTCCGTCAGGAGTAATATTTCAGAACCCTGTGGACGAAATCTGTTCATTCTTTTCTGGTGCCTAGTACTTCATCTGGGACATGTGCAGTGGTTTACTGATTCAACCCCAAATTGCTGACTGGCAGCCGTTTTGTCAGTTTTTGTTCAAATTTGATACATACATTATACATGTTAGGATTCATGTCTGACGTTTTGTTTCATGATCCGATCAATCAGATTCGGAGAGGAAGATGTGTGTGGCTTGTCATCCACGCTGCACAAGATGCCTATACAGTGCAGACTACTGTTTATCATGTAAAACGGGGATGAAGCTCCAAGGTAGTGAGTGTATAGTGAGTTGTCCAGCACAAATGTACCAGACGGAAGAAAATACTTGCCGAAGTTGCCACGAGTCGTGTGATAGTTGCACTGGGTCCTTTGAAACAGATTGCTTAAGCTGTGCCATTGGTTATTTACATCAAGATGGATTATGTATCAATAGTAATGTTTGTGAAGATGGTTACTATAAGGCTTGGGAAGCTGAATGTTTGAGGTCAGTATTAAAAATCTGGTAAATTACGTAGTGTTTTTTTTATGGTAAAAAACTCTCAAATCCTCCGTCTGACAGTAAAAACTTTATTTTTCCTCAAATTAATTTTTGCTAAAAGGTCTTTTTAGCTCTGCTGTCGACTTAGTCGAACAGAGTCTATCATATGAGTGATTGTCCGTCAGCATCAGTCGTTCGTGTGAACTTTTTACTTTTTCGACTTCTTGAAAACTGCAAGAATTATTGCTTTGATACTTGGTGTATATGTACCTTGGGCAGACCCCTCTTAGATTTGTTCATTTCGTTATATTTTAAATTCTCAATTTTGATGAATATTTTTGTCATTTTGGGTAAAAAAAATTATATTTTCAACTTCTTGTTGTTGATTGCTTTGATATTATACATATAGGTACCTCAAGTAGATCTCTCTCAGATTTGTTCATTTCGTGATATCTTCAATTATCTAATTGAAATGTGCATTGCAGCGAGTGGCCCTGACAAACATGCATATTTCACAGATCAAAAATCCATCTTTCATCATCAGTTCATAACAATGAATATAAGAGAACTGAATGTATGCCACATTTTTAATGATTAATAAGTATCAAGTATTAAGATATTCTTGAAACCCTAGAGAAATGTGAGGTCAGACAAAGACATGATTGCCACAGGGAATATCGTATCATTTCCACTGGGGATAATTTTCAATAGTTTGACTGTTCCACTTTTCAGTTGCCATTCCACATGTGAGACATGTAATGGACCAAGTGAGGAAGACTGTCTCTCCTGTAAACAGCGAAAAACCAGTTTTCATCTTCAAGACGGTAGATGTATTGCAAACTGCCCCAGAGGTAGGTTTAATTTCATGAGGGGCAGATTTTGGTGAATTTTGTTATTTGCAAAAATTGTGAAAATTTGTGCTGGTGCAAATTTCTCTGGGGTAAGTAATCAGCTCAAATGGGTTGACATATTTACCATTAACTTTTGAACGTCAGAGTTAATTATTAAGCTGCTTCAACTGTGAGAGACAAATCAGTAAAAATCAAGTAATTTTGTATCATTCAAAAATGGTTCTCCCCAGGTATATTTTTAACAGTTTGGATAATTTACATAACAATTAAATTAGCATAATAAAGATTATGCAAATTTAAATTGTAATTATATCTATTGTTATGCTAACATCAATTTATGTAATAAAGACAACTGTGATGAAGTTTCAGGTTAATTTTTAGCTCCGCTGTCAACTTTGTCGAGCGGAGCTTATCATATGAGTGATTGTCCGTCGTCGTCGTCCGTGTCAATGTTTTACTTTTTCGACTTCTTGTTGAAAACTACAAGCCTGAATGCTTTGATACTTGGTGTATATGTACCTTGGGTAGACCTCTCTTAGGTTTGTTCATTTCATGATCATATCTTCAATTCTCTAATTTTGGTGAAGTTTGGATTTTAATGAAACTTTTAAAGGGTACCATCACATTTCAATGAACCTAGGACTATACACCATATTAGTTTTTGGTAAATATTTATGCTTCTTAATCACCTAATTAACATAATTAATTAATACTGATATCTCAAGTATTGATCATCACATTTGAATAAAATTTGGTACATAAATGCTCTAGGACAATAGACAGCCTGATTAATTTTGGGTTAAAATCTGTTTATATTAATTCTCTAATTAGCTTAATAATTAATAATTTTTTGGTTCTAATCACGTTTCAATGAAACTTGGTACATTGTACAGACCTTATTAGTTTTACACTTAAATCTGTTCATATTAGTTACCTTATTTGCATAATTAGTTTTTCGCGTTTCCATCAATATATCAAGTTCAAGTAATTTTGAATTAATTTTTAATGTGTCTCCAATACTCTCAGCACACGGGAGTTCTTTCTAAGCTTTCTTTGATTGTAGCTTTGGTTCAGTTTAAATAAAATTTGATTGCTGCATGAATGTAAAATTGTTGACAATGATAATTCAAATATGACAAGTTGAGTATGCGTAGTGTGGAGTTCAGGATCACAAACATGAAAGAGTGTGCATGTATTGTTATCTAGCAGTTGAAATAAATTTGTTACATATTCATATTTTGTTCTTCATCAGGTTGTATGAAGAAAAAAATTATATATTTTCATAAACTTTCAAAGGCAAACCTATATGCCACAAAACGTAAGCTTGAACAAAATACAGATTTATTCTAGTGCCAACAAAG